GGACTCCCCCCCCCAAAAAATTAAGATATTAATTACATTATTGAAAGCAATTAATTTCTATGGGTGATAAATATTCATGACGCAGTCATTATCAAGTTATTATTAGTTCTGACGTTTCAACCCAAACATGTGGGTCATCATTAGAGAGTGGTTCGAGCACTGGAAGTACTTGAATACCTTCAGTGCTTTAACCACGATGATGACCCACATGTTTGGGTTGAAACGTCGGAACTAATAAAAACTTTATGACTGCATCATGAATATTTATCACACATGATATGTAGAACAGTCGACTGACTTCCTTCAACAATTAATTTCTATTTCATTTCGTTTATAACTTCCGTATGGTAAACCTATTTTTTTATTTTATTTATTTATCATTCCTAAAATTTAATTAGCTTCTTTATCTTACTCACATGAACAAGGTCTAAATGATTAGACTAAATCACATTCTATTTTTTTAGTGTGTTTTTTTCAAAGCAGATTCTCATTTTATTAATTTTATTCAGTAATAGAACCTATTACAGTCACATGATTAATGATACATTTTTCCTCATTACTTGTAATTAGTTATGTTCCGACTTTTCTCAGACATAAATAATAAATTTAATTGTTCTTCGGAACGAGAAATATTACGTCTTATCCTCATTTAAGACAGAAACTTAATCAAATTCTAAGAATGAAAATTTGATTTAGGGAAGAGGGCTGCTGAAACAACTGACTTCTTTTTTACAAAAACACTCGACTCGGTTATAGCTGGAACTTGGAGAGACGCCTGAATGGTTTTCATACTTCTCTTTCCTTCAACGTTTCCAACAATGAGTTTCCAGCGTTTATACAATACATTTCCAACGCTATTGTCAAAGAAGTCTTACTGAATTAACCAAATAGTTCCAGTCAACAGCTGGAGTTTCCTGTAGCCTTCCAGCATTCATAACATTGTCATATTGGATGTCAGTTACAATCGTGTGTCAGGAAGAATTTCACTGTTTATTTATTCATTAATTATATCAATGCATCGGTTCTTAAAGAGTCATCTTATCTATATGTAAAAATAGTTTTAAAAATATATTTTATGAATAGTTATTATGAAATAGATTATATTATGCAAGATAAATTCTTGCATTAAAATTTAAGTGTAGAGATGGTTGACCGTGGTTATAATATGAGAAGGAGTTGGTTGGGGGATGCGGTCAAATAAGTACTATATATTAAAATAGTATTTTATTGTTTACGAATTAGTAGTTGGAATTACACCAACCTTGGAAGCCTTCAGAGCGTAAACAATAAAATAATATTTTAATATATAGCATTTATTCGACCGCACTGTGAGTGTCTGTGTGTCTGTGAGTTTGTGCGTATGTAAACAGTCTAGCTCAAAAACGTAAATTTGTACGAAACTTAAATTGCATATAAACTCTTACAATTTTCTCAAAAACGGCTCAAACGATTTGATGAAACTCGGTGTATCATTTCACAAATCAATATTAAAGCTATGAATTTTGTCATTGATTTGGGATAATAAAACTACAGACAAAAGCCATTACACAAAGTAAACAAGATAGTTTAATTACTGACTACGGTAAAGAGCATCTACTAGTAAGCCACACAGTGACTTTATAATTAATACTATTAATTATATTAATAACTATGATATATTATAAAAACAATTATATTAATGTTTTAATTAAGTTACTGTGATAAGGTAGAACCTTTAGCGATTCTGAGTAGAAATGAGTTGTTTTTTTAAGGAACCAGCATTTTTTTGAATAGTTCTTATGAAACTACTTCATATGAGCTACAGTGGCTTAATAAAAGAGTATGACCATACCGGTGTGGCGGCCATATTGGATTGACCATAAAGTAATATTTGAATATTAGTAAATATGAATATGAATATTAGTAAATTTTACTTTTTTATTTCAATTTAAAAAGTAATTATTACAACAAACTATTAACTAGAAAGCATTTAATATCATTTAGGTCTTATTCTTATTGATTTCACTTTACTGAGCTTAAACGACCAATGTTCATATACGTCTTCCTCTTAAGTACCTTTAATATGGATTATTTAGAAAAATGAACTCTCTTTTATTGACAGAAACTATAAAAATGGCTAAATATGAAGTTTGAAAGAATATCATAATTGGAAACTGGAGAAAAAAAAGAAAACTGTTATCCCAGTTGAAAATGAATCTCCGGAAATAACTGTCAGAATGCTTACGTGTAATATATCGTTCGAAAGCGGAGAATTTTAGAAAAATGATATCAAATAAATAAAGTTGTAGAAGGTAACGGAGAGTGACAAAAATGATATAAATCATAATTTCAGAAAACTAACACTATTTAGCCTAAATCATATGTTTCAAATGAAATTAAATGACTTTTCTAACTAAATTTTTAGAGTGCTACCAATGGGTAGTTTCTCAACATGTGATTTCATGCTATTTTATTCCTTTGTTCACATTTACTGAATGTATTTTTACTTGTAATACAGTTTTAAATATCATCAATAAATAAAAATAATAACTAAATTTTCTTAATAAATGTAAACTTTTAATTTTTTTTCTAAGTAAAGTAAAAATGTATTTAAAATGCACCGAATCAAGCGAATGCCATTGTTTTAAATACTATTTCATTGTGCTTGTTGTCAGAACTGAAACATAAAAATATTTCATGAATATGTTTATAACCTTAAATATATTGACTGTAGTTTAATAACTCTAGAGATGATTGTTTAGTGAAGAAATAGCAAAACAATGTGGAAATAAGTAGTTCCTATGTATTATGTTTAGAAAGAATTAATATTTTTTTCTTGGTCGATTACAATATTCCATTAAACATAATAGAAAAAATATTTGTACAAATTGCTTTGCCAGGACCTATTTTTAAACGCTGACTGGAAAGATAATGAAAGTAATAAAGACAAAATAATGAACCGATCATGGAATTTTCTAAATTATTAAATTAAATAAAGTGTAAGAACAACTAAATGCCTTTAAGAAATAATAAAGTTAATATATCAGCCAGAAAAAAAAAGTGTCGTAGACTATTCTACTCCTAAAAGCAATATCTTTAAACAGGAACACATTATTAAATATACCGAATTTTTATTATAAATATAAAAATGTATTTATCCAATAAATTTTAAAAGTTCAAAAGGGGGATTATTTATTTTCCATTTTTGCTTACTGAATATTTTATTTTAATATTTTGATGTGTATATTTTGTTTTCTCTTGTACAGGTCTCGTATTCACTATTTTTTTCCCTTCTTTCTTACCATTTAATTTTGCTCGTATTTCCCCCCACCTTTGAGGAAACTCACCGGGGAAAGATTTGTATTTTCGATTCTGAAACACAGAAAAAAAAATGTATACTTTCTGAGTCATTCGCAAATAAAGTTTCTTTTCCTCCATAACTTTATAGCATGCGAAGGAGAAGAATATCTTCAAAATGAGGGATCAATCATTGGATTTGGTGAAGAATTGACGAAGTTATGGCGTACCGACAAAAAAACACCTTTTAGGAATAATATATAGGATTTTGATCAGGTTAAAATAGTTATAAGACACTTCATTATAAACGGGTAAAGTTCCCAATGGGATCAGCAGCAACTGATTTGAATACGTACGCCTACAGGGATCATAACCCCGAAATAAACTTCTTTTATGACTGCCCACAATTACAAGATATTCGATAATAAGGGATGGTCCCTTCCTATTAGACCAATATATTATTATTCTTTTTGACGTTGCTAAGCTGGGAGTGGGCGAAGTATGGTTACCATTTCAAAGCGACAGGTGCTATATGTACGCTAGGGATTGGAAAACAACCTTTTCCCATACAGTTCTACCCGATTGATGTCCGACATATATCAATGCTCAATCTTAAAGCCCAGCCCACACCAGCTCAAAATATTTATTCCTAATAATTGTTTCTAAACCTGTGTATGCATACAACTGATAAATATTTGATTCATTTAATTGACAATAAATATTTACGTACATAAATTAATTTAACATAAAACGGACACCTATTGAACTGTTTCAAAAAGGTTTTAAGGATTCTTTTGAAAGGTTTTAACTATAAGTGTACTTTTACATATACATAAAATAATCATATGTATTTAGTCATAAAAGTGACTGAAAGTCATAAGGCAATAAGGTTGATATTGATGGGGCATATAGCTAGGAACAATTCACCAGGAAGCATCTACACAACAAAGAATGTCTCAATAGAAGGCAACAGACTGACCATCTGGTAGTTCAAAAACCAGATGAATAGATCGAATCAAGCTCGATGCTGTAGAGCTGCATACATAAAACTGAAGAGAAATAATCCAAGTTAGGCAGAAGTGGTGAATGCTTATAAAAGTGAAAAAAGATCTACAAGATACGCAAGACCAACAGAAAACTAAAGTGATTAAAAGATCATGAGCAGATACAGACTGAAAGACACGCGTATAGATATTTCAACTATAATTCTTTAACGCTTCAAAATATATATTTTCGATGAATACTCAGTTGCGAAGTTTTTCAAGATTACAATACTTTACTATATTTATATTTTATATTTAGGTAAATGAAAGTATATTCTATGAAATTAAAGTATGAAACAGAGGAACTATTTAGCACATGTAAAGAAAATAACAGTAGTAAATTCAAGAAAAAAAAATGTTCTGGATAATCCGTCTTACGTTTTACTGTGCCTATATAAGTTATTTTGAGCATTAACCAAAAAAGCGAACTTATACATTGGCGACGTATTACTGCACGACAAGTGGGTCTAAAAAAAGTTGATATGAAAAAAACTAACCACTAAGGGTTAAAATATACCGAATGAACAGGATTCTACCATATTCTCGCAGACATGCAACGATAAATAAAATTTCATTATTTTTAGGCTAATGGGAATATAATATACTTCGATCAAACCAAATGATTTTACCATGCATTTAATTATTGGTTTCATAAAATAATGACAAATATTAAAAGAAAAGAAATTTTTTATAATAATGCTAACACAATTATTTTCACAACACATGTGATGTGTTCATATAATATTCGAAATTATTATAAATCCAATGATTTCCAAATTTCTAAGGCAGATTTTCGGTTCCTTCATTGTTCTGTAACAGAAACTTAAACAGTCTCATTCCATTCTAAATTTAAACTAGTTTTTATACCACATGTCAATTAGGCCCGTCGCCAACATATGATCGGAAGGTAACAGTAACTAAATTTTTCGGGATTTGCGGGAACAGGTATTCTTGGTGGTTCCTCAGGAGCCCCTCAAGCAAGAAGTCATGGAGACGGATAATGAGCTGACGTCAGGGACACAAACTGGCACCGAAGAAACGTGAGTGAAAATTCCATGTCCTACATTTATAAGATTTGAACACGCGTCATATTAGGTTTTGCTAGTGGGACGGCCAGGAATGTCTAGGAAAGCAACCCCTTCAGTGATTGCAGTTATAAAAATCAAAATAATAACGTCAAATGTCATCCTTTATATATTCCTGGCCATTTGCATATTTCATAAAATATAAATTGAACTAGAATGTTTACATGCCACAAGTATAGTATGCAAAATTTGCAGTGAAAAACATTAAGACGCGTCATATATATTACAAGGATTAAGAAATTGCCCAAATTTCTATTAAATTTGTTGAAATCTGACATAATATTTTTCTCCAAAACAATAAGTTAATTTATGGTTTTCTTACAATAAATTCTAAACCATAAAGCAGTTAGCATTTCATTCATTATAAATTACCACATAGTTCTTCAAAATATATAATAAAATAGCAATGGTAATTATAGCTGTCTGGCATTTCAAGAATAAAACAAAGAATGAGTAATTAAAAAAAAGTGAAGGTACGACTGCACAAGTATCACTCCATTCTGATCGGTTGAGTAAGATTTTATAATCACACCAGAAATGGAATAACGAATAAATCCGAAAGTAACCGAACCGTCCGGTAAGGTACCCGACCTCAACTGAAAAGCGGGAGTCGAAAACAGCAATGCAATTAAAGCTAATTAACACCCCGATTATAACCGAAAAGAGGCATCGGGGTCTTAGCGAAGTCTATATAAACGAAGGGAGGTTACACTGTGAACACTTCAACCTTTGATAATTCTCGAAATCTCATTTATAGCGTGTCCATGGGATCTTGACCCACTCGTAAAAATAGATTGACAGTTATATAGTGGGTACCGATGTTTCTATATGCTAATTCGTATATACAATCTATTAAGTATTATCAACATAGTCTATACATCACGATTAGTTAATCATTATACCACGAATGTTATAGTAACTATTTATTTAATAAGTGGTTAGCTTGAAAATATACCTCCAGTATAATAGTTAATCAATAAAACACCTTGAGCCCTGAAGTTATCGTAATCCATAATTGTATTTGATCAAGAATGATTTGTTTGATGTAGACGAGCCTCGGTTTGTAAATTGTATCGCATATGACGAGTATAGAAGTTTTTTTTTTTTTTTTTATCACCCTTCCTGGCATTTTTTCCATACGTGGTTTCAGCAGTGCGTTAATACGTTGGGAATACGTACCGCTACTGCTGCCAATAGACTCTTTATTTTATTTTTACTGCTGTGCGGCCCGGTGCACGGGTGTGCGCCTTACTGATGGGACGGCACCTTAGTCACCAGCTGGTTGCGCATCTTGCCTCCTGGGAAGCTTCCTCCAACAGTTTGACGCTACCCCTCCCGGTCGTCTTCCTCCTGATCTGCTCTCCCTATCGTGAAGTGCGTAGGTTCCACCTTATGTCTCCATTTTCCCACGAACTCCACTAAGTGAGGGTATTTCTCCTCTTCCATCAGTCGAGGAAGATCCTCAACGTCTAGGGCGTACAGTCCCGTCCTCCGCATTAATATGGAATCTGTCAGTGAGCCTTGTTTAACACTGACTTGCTGTTTAAAACTTGAACATGTGATAAGTATACCATGGCAACCACGGCACCTAAGAGGCTTTCTCCAAGAAATACTATTTGTATCGAAAACATAGGACCTGATAGTTCCAAAAAATATAAAACGTCATGATGTCCGCCTCAAAATCTTTAAAACGCAGTATATCACGTCGAGATATAACAGTACATCTCGTCGACTCTTGAAACCGTCTGAGTTTTGAAACCTCTCGATTTTTTTTTTCAATGCATTTCATAGTTGTAGTAAGGTTTTGAAATTGGAATCCGTCACCTCTCAATGAAATTTTTTTTGTTTAGATACCTCATTCTTCAAAACTCATCGCTCGTGAGAGCCGAAAAAGGGATCTATACTATGGTATTATACATAGTATAGATAACCCCTTTATCAAAAAACAACGGATATTGACAAATAATATAACACAGAAGATTTCAGGAAGAAATAACGTACTTTTATTTCAATCCTTTAATTTTTATTGAAGAGGAGTTAGTTGGTACAAAGAAAGGAGTCACAAAGTAAAATTAATTAAATTGTATTTATTTTTCGGTCAAAGGTTCAGGCATTCATCAGAGCTAAGAAAAAAATAACAATGCATATGAGAAACTACAGATATGAGAAACTACAGAAAGAGAAAAAAAATTAGGTAGAACAAAGTTAGGATATATAACATGATGGTAAAAATGTTAGCTACTTATGAAATAAAAAATAACTGTAACAGATTTAGGAACTGAAATAAATAATAACGGTAACAGTGTTCATATTTCTTTTCTCTGTTTTACAGTATACTATTTTTTTTTTTAATTCATTTATAATTTTATAATTCTTTCCGTTGCCCGGCAAACTGATATATGAATCAAAGATATACAAAATAGTCACGAGTTCGCGTCACGGTGCCGGGGACTCTTTTAAATCCCCGCCCACACTCCCTGGCCCGGGAAAATCCCGTATAGCCTTAACGGCGAGGAAGGGAAGGACCCAAAAAATTTTTTTATAATTCTTTGTTAATTCATTTTATTTCTTTGTCAATATTCAATTAAATTTATCTGCTAATTTTATTATGTTGTTATCGTTATGTTATATATTATTATTTTTTATGTATTGTTATTTGGTCTTTACTTAGCCCCGATCAAGACCAGAACCTTGGGCCGAAACGTCGGCAAAAATAAAATAAAATATAAATTTCGTAATGTAATATATGAATATAGTATTTCGGATGCTAATGACCTTTTTTGCCCAGATATCAATACAACGAACCAACCAATTGCTAAGGTTTTCTTAAGATTGTTTCCTGTATGTGTGTTTATGTTCAGTTTATACACTCAACTTTTATTTTATTTTTATTTTTCATACATAGTATTGATTAACTATACTTTCTTTATACAGTTCGTTTTTTTTTTTTATATAAACTTAATCTTGAGTATTTTATTAATTTATTCTTGGCTCTTCGATTCTACAAGAACCTATGATCTTTCTGGCATACAATAACTGTTGCTAAAGTCAGATACATATAACATTTTCATTACCATAGAAAATCATTAATCAACTCCTACCACTCTGAATGCATCAATTTTCTTCATACATTATTCACCCTTTAACTAAGTTTTTTTAAAAATTATGTTTTAAGCCTAAAAGAGCAGGGGAAAAACATATTAAATAACGTAATAAAACATGGTATCATTCCAGTAACGAAGTTGTAAATCAGGCCGAAAAACAAACATATAAGACAACTAAAATGATTTAAAGAAAAAAAATTCTCTCAAACACCTTTTCAAACCATTATCACGGGTTTGAAAAATGATCCCCCTCTCTCTAACAGTAGCATATTTTGACTGTGATGAATAATTTGAGCTCCATCTAGGGGCATAAATCATACCCGTCCTCCTCCTAACAGGTTATAAACGATTTTGATCCCACATTTTTAGGAAAAAGAAATGGACACCCTTCATAACCACCTATGAAACCTTTAGGTTAATAAAAACTCACTAACCTACCTTACCGAAAATAACTAAAAAAAAGTTAACACCATCAAGTCGGAACTGGTATTTTAGGTGCATATTCATAGTAAAATATTTTAATAGAATATCTAGTTTAAAATCGTAATATTCCAAAACCGATAGCTTTCGATTCGGTTCTGCACTTAAACATATTTTGATGCCTTCCTTAGATATTTGCCATATTTAACGTCCTTGTGTAATCATGTTTTTTTAACTCAGAGGACTATTCTGCAAAGGATCATTAGTTATAAACTCGTCATATATGTTTTATAAGTTAAAATAAAAAATAAAAAAATTTAATCCATATCAATATAGTCCAGTAACCTTGTACATTATAAGTTGCATTGAATGGGATTAGAAGATTTATTTTTATTTTCTTGGATGGGGTATGGCAGGTGTAAAATCCAAATCCAAGCTGCCATATTTCCGCGCTTTTTCGTTTTTTTCCCCCTCATTTTATCATAGTATAATAGATTATATATGCTACAATTAAACATCAGAACAGGCTCAGTAAATCAAATAGTATACAAGATACAGATTTTCAAATTTTATAACAATTTTTTTTTAAAATTATTTTTCCTGTTTGAGCGTATGCAATTGTCTTTTATCTTCAATAACCTATCTGATATGAGTCAGCATAGTAAATATTTATTCATAATATTTTGAAGGATGAGTAAGTATGGAGTAAAAGGTTTGGTGGAAGAGGATACTCCGTGGGCCAGATCTCCTGAAATCAAACTTCTAGAGAATACATTTATATTTCTAATTAACTGATTCATTTTTAACATATTTGAAAAAGTTCTTTAGAAAATGCATTAAATCTGAGGAAAAGCTGTACTGGCGTAGGTGACTACAAAAAACATCGAACGCAACAAATGACTCAGGTCATTCTAGCTCACTTATTTTATTATTTATTTATAGCTCTTATTATTTATAGCAATTCCTATATCTATGCATCCTAGTTCTTCCAAATAATAACTTGAATAAATATTTACTTTATTAGCTTAACATTTTCAAGTTTCGAAAATTTCATTCACTTAATTTACAATTTTTGTATGCACTTGATGTAAATATTGTTTTTTTTTTTTTTGTTTTTTGGTTATTTTATTTCAATTCCAGTCTTCTCGTTGTAAAAAGTGATCTTTCCCTCCCTCACCAAATCTACCCTCCTCCCTCACCCCACATTCAAAATGTTAAAATGAATACAAATTTACTTCACTGAATCATATAAAACAAGTTATTGAAGAAAATACAAGTGCATATGATAAAACAGGAGAAATAGCTTAAAATTCGAAAAGTTTCAAAACCTTTATCTCAAAAACTATTAAACTTACCTAACCCACTTTTCGTCTTAAATTATAGGATATTTAAAACTGTATTAAATGTTTTTTGTCGTAAACTTGCTCTTTCGTGGTCGAAATGGGGTGCGAAAATATAGCAATTTTTGGGGTGTTAAAAAGTGATCTGGGAGGTCGAAAACTTGGATTTTGTATCTCGGTCACATCCCTTATAAGGAAAAAAAACCTTCTACCCCTATTTCTTGCAACTTAGACTCCCCTTTTCATGACAAGATTACTGAGCCAATAGTAATATATAACTAAATACACCTTGCTCAATCAATATTTATTTAAATTTTTTAATGTTGCTATCTTCATCCATGTTTTTGTAGGGTCGGAAGCTCGGACATTAATGCAGATGAAGCTGAAGCCATCACCCGTTCTATGGACATGTCTATAGCATTTTGGGGTACATCAAAAGAACCACCAGAGAAAATACCAGCCACCAGGCTGAAATGCCCTCTACAGAATCCTGGCAAAGCATCTAGCGTGGCACTCAAAATTTGGGAAAAAATGACCCAAAGGGATCTTGATAAAGTTAAGGAAATTGAAGTTTCACTCATGACTGAAGGAGAGATTGGGACGGTAGTTCTCTTTAATGCACTCAAATATATTATAGAAAGCATCGGGATGGAATTCGAAGAAATGCTTAAGAGTGTCGACGAAGATCCTATAGAATCAACTATTTCGCTAACGAATGAAATCCTGCACATTTTCAACCTCAATGAGCCCCCAGAGATTGTGGAAGATGAAGAATGTAGTAGTTATATACACTATAGCCCCATCAGCAATGTATCTAAGCAAACCGAGAAGCAAAGGAAAGATATATCGAACAAAATGAAAATTCTGATAAATAAAGCTCACGAGATGGGTATTCATGATGTCCGGGTCCCATCTTCTCCTTACCTGTCAGAACGCTCGAAATTGTCATTGATAGAGAAGCAGATAACATCGAAAATGAAACTAAGAAATGTGAAAAAAATATTCGAAGATACAGAAAGGGGCACATCTGAGTGTTCATTTGGAGAATCGAAATTTGGACAGTCTCTTAGATACCAAAGGAGGAAGTCTGCACATCAGAAGAAGGATCCCAAAAGGCCTACCCTCGCCGATAGACCCAAATTCCGATCTGCCGTGAAAGCTGAATCTTTACGTTATGAAGACCTGTTCAAGCAAACTCCAGATATTACTAAAAGAATCAGAAAAGTTCGAGAAATCAGGAAAAAGTTTATGGAAAAATCTAAAAATGGTACTGATGGCAAAAGTTCTTCAAACTTATATAACGTCAGAAATACAAGGAATCGTTACCTTGCAACTCCTTTTTCTAATTATAGTAATTACAGCCTTGCCTATAAAGGCAGAACTCCAAGACTACATAAACGATACCATTTACCTCAGATGCACAATTCTCGTATAAGAGATTACAGTTTAAATGATAATAAGAGTAGTACGAGAGGCAGAATCGGAAGCACAGATGAACTGCAGAGTGAAGATTTCCAACAAGCTTCAAATATTTTACAAAGACATGGCAGTAGGGATAAAATGTTATATGAAATGAAAAAAATGGTTAATGAGGCTGTGCAAGCTGTAAAAGGATCAAATCGTCTTAAGCATTCTATATGTTTGCCAGATGAGAAAAAAACATTTAGAATTAAAGCAAGAGAAAAAAATCGAAATAGCAAAACGGGAATGAGTGACATTTCTCATACAATGCAATCAACTACAAATTCAGATAAAAGCGATAACTCAAATTTTTCAAATGACAAGAAAAAAAATGAAACTTTTGTAACAGTAAAACAAGAGGCAGGTCTTCAAAACATAAACAAAGAAGAAAATAAAGTATCTACTGAAGTTAAAGTATCCAGAGATTTCGGTGGTCCAGGACTAAAGGTATCAGTAATAAGTAAGGTCTCTGGTAATGAGGAAACAGAAGATATGCCACAGCCGAGAAGTACGAAAGATATCCGTGAAGCTATCAGTATTCTGAAGGAATATATCGCTCTGAAAAACAACGAAAACCTGGGTCGCCTCGAATCAAAGAGCGTTCATAAAGGAAAAGATAGATCCTTGATGCTAACGAGCATCAAATCTGATGAATTATTCAAAGAAAAGAACACAACTTCAGAAACTGTCGCAAAAACTGAAGTAATAATAGAGCCTAATTCTCTTGAAAGTATACCGAAAGAAGAAGCTTACGAAGAAGAAGCGGAGGCAAGATCTAATGAGAATTCGATCTGGAATATCAGCCAAGAAATAATGGATGAAGAAGCTGATCGAACATATCAAACCTACGCTGTAACGATGCTTATGCCGATGGATAGCGGGGTGGAGGATACGCGTTTCTATAGCCCCTTCCAGTTCGAAAACATGTTTCTCAATCGAACAAGCAACAGATTCATGCAGGATCAAATTGGAGACTTAAGTGACAACGGATGGTCCTCCTGGGACAGCCCCATCTGGCATAGTCTTCATATGGATGATGGCTTCACCACTACCGTAAGGAACGAAAGTGATTCCTTATATGTGAATACCAGTGAGGAACACATGAATTACGACATAGGAGAGACTGGTGAAGATATTTCTATAATGCAACACCAACAGATTAACACAACTATTTCTACCATGAGGTATATTAGGTCCACATTTATAGTACTCATAGGGTTTTTTTTTCATAGCTTTATTAAGAATAGAAGGGTAATTCTTTTTCGATACAGGAATAATCGTACATTTATTAGAATTGAATTTCCTTTCAATATTATTATTTTCATAAATGAGAACTTCTTTTAAAACGAAATATTATTTCTTCACCCCAAAAAAGAATCTAAAAAATCTTTACCGTTAATTTGGTTTGAATCATTCAAATGCTTTCATTCAAAATGAATTATTGGCATTTTTTAAAATATTAAAAAAATAAATAAATGAAGGTCTATCTGGACGAAATTTTTACTCCAAGAGGTATTATTTTTAGATTCGCCCGAAAATTTAAATAGGTTTTCAAAAGAGGTAACAAAAAAAATCTAAAACAGGTAACAAAAAGTTAAATCCGTAAATCATTTCGATATCTTTTGAACTTTACCGAAGAATAGTCTTTTCATTGCGATTCAATGGACTATTCCATGCCTCTCTAAAATATTCATTTATTTTTTTTAAATTGGTTCATCCTAGAATTCACTTATTCAGAATGTATTTTATATTAATCATGACACTGCATCTTTAAGTTACATAAAAATATATATATATATGTAAAATCGAGAAAATAGTGAATAATAGAGTGATCTATTTTATTCGAAATGTAATAATAAAATTATAGAGAGTTTTATTTGCCTATAATTGAAGTATATGAGAACGAAAAGTACTACAATTGTCAAAATATTTAAATCCGAATTTTTAATGGAAATGCACGTTTTAAATATTCTTAAGTGAAAATAACCAACTACCACAAAATTTTATGTGTCTTTCTGCGTATGTATGTTAACAGCCTAAATCAAAAGGTCGCACGAGTGGGCATAAATTTCCATTATTTTACTAACTCTACCGACACAAACTGGACAACGAATGTTTTTCATCACGGTTATACGGATATCTGGAATACCATACCTATTGTTCACATTATTAAAAACTTGTTCTTATTAACTTAATCATCTAATCAAATTCGCTTATGAAAATACACTGTTTCTAAACTTTTTATTAATTAATAAATAGTAATTATTACTTGTGAAGATGCCAAGTATTTGTAGTGATAATAAAAAGAGATAGGTATATTTATTATTGTTTATTGTAGTGTGGTGGTCGTTGATAGTGGTTCAAGATCCGGAAGGAGTTCTTACTTTTCAATGATGTCATCGGCTGCCTATGGACTATACCGAATTTTCATAAATTCCATCATAAGATCGGTGGCCATATTTTTTAAACCTTTCTGTAAGTTTTTGCTGTCTGACAATTTTTTAATGATAAAATCAGATTAAATATATAATAAAATCGACATAATTATTAGCGATATAGTATCAAATTAAAATGCCAACTAAATTTACTAAAACTTTTACTTTTTAATTTTATTACAAAAACTTTACGACGAACCAAACTTTTCTTTTTTTTTTTTAAATAGGTGAAAATCTGGATTAATTCCTGAAACACTAAGTCTTCAGATTGAATACAATAGACTATATATTTATTTATTTTAGGGATTTCCCCTTACAAATATAAATAGAGTGGTTGCACACATTGTGATTTTTACAAAATAATATTAATTAATTAACGTTAATACTTAAATCAAAGTATTTAATTAACAAGAATAAGTCTTTTGCTAACAATTTTTTTAGCTACACAAAACTCATTAATCAGAAAGGAATGTTACCTATTATAATATTATTTCAGATTATATATAACGTAACATTAATTATTATAATAATTGAGTGGTGAATATCTGTTCTCTACTTATTGTTTTTATAAATGATGTAAACATAGTGGGGTGATTGCATTTAATAAGAGTATTGGTTCTAGCCAATAGAATTTGAAAATGGGACATGTTATAAAAAAATGGTAAAAATTTTCCCTTTCATTCAAATTACACAATCAATATAAACTTTTCCATAATAGTTTTTATCCGCTCAGATCTTGCGCAGTTCCTGATGCATGACTTCATGCATCGAGTCTTCAGTTAGTGCCCACTTCTTCGCAACAACTGAGCTGATCCAACAAGGAATATAATTCTCATATTTCTTTAGTTTATATTTAAGTTGTTTTTATTATTTATTATCGCTTTTACAATTATTTCTTTTAAAATATGTGACCAAGAGTTCCAAAAGCAGGCCACGTCTGATTTTCATTTTTTATTACATATTTTTATGGCGTAAATGCAAAGCCTTACCCATTGCTATATTTTCCATTCCTATCCTCCCACTCTTCCTCAGGTGATATTTCAATATATAGTTGCTCTCTAGATACTCCTCAGATAAAAGAACTTCAGGTATCGGCAAATAATTTATTTGTTTTTAGAAAAGTTCTTCGATAACCTGATATCAAAGTCGTTTAAAAATAAAATTTGAGAATTAATGAAAATGGAATAGGTTTATTTTGGAATACTGCACATCATATACTTCATGATATTGTGTATACAATATTATATTTCGATATCTTTACCATTTTTAATATAGTGTTATCAAAAAATCAATAAGTGGAGATTTAATGAATAATTCTAGAATCGAAAAAAGAATAATTTGTATTAATTGACTTTTATAATAAAATCATATTTATTGATGTATGTTCGGATAAGAAATATATATTGAGTATACGTGTTATAAGAAAAAAAAGTGAAAACTGTAATTTATCTAATGAATAAATTATTTTATGAGCTATCGCTACATTACTTAAATATTTTAATTAATAGTTATGTATCATTTACTTTTTATTACTTATTTTGATTTCTATAGAAAACTATTTGACCGATGATTCAATTTTAGCACAAACTTTTTAAAGACAGTTTCTACCTAGATTAATATTTCTACCAGAAAAAATCATGGAACGATGTCATGTGAAATTTGTATCGGTGGGTCCCAGTACAGTTTTAAATGGCAATTATATTAAATTATCAGTAAAACTTAAATAAATCATTGATTTGAATTAAAAGTGTGTCTGTAAATTTGCGTGTGTGCACGAAATATCTTTTGTACCTCAAAGAATTATTTGTTGGAATCCAATTCCTGAAAAGAACAATTTCGCTCATGTTACAAATGTATGGCCGTGTAATTCCAAGTGTCATAAAAAAATTAGATTAAATTTTTAAAAATTATTTCTATTTATTTTTCAAAAATAATTTATACGCCACTGCTATTATTATATTAAATATCTGTTTGATTCCAGGTATAATTGCAGCTTTCAAACTAAGGAGAAATGAAAACAATCAGTGAGAATAATGAAGATTGTACGTTCTTTTTATTTTATTTTTTTAAGTTTCTTAAATGAGTATTGGGTATATTAACTCCTTATGTAAATAAAGTAAAATTTACAAGATTTACTTTATTACAATCATCTATGTAATATTTTAGCCTGAACTGAGTAATTAAATCTAATTCAATCTTGATTTTTGTTTATAATTCTAATATTTAAATCAGTGCTCTCGACCAATCTCCGCTGGCTTTAGTACCAGTGACGCGGTTGGGAGAGTAGCGCAGGGTTCTCCTGGAGTTCCCTCGCCTGATTGTATATAGGTATGCATGTGTTTTTTTTTCTTAGTTTTAATTTTCTTATTTTTTAGGTTATTTTATTTTATTGTCTATTGTATATACTTTTGATTATTATTTTGTTCTATTTATTTTATTTTTTTGTACATATGGTGTGAATGTCATCCTACCTCACTATAACCATTGTCCAACAGACAGATTGTTATAATACTCAATAAAGAAATTAAAAAAAAAAAAAAAAAGAAAGAAAAATATTTAAATCAAGCTTTTGACCGGGTATGGCACGCCAGTCTTCTTTTCAAGTTGAAAAATCATCAACCCCAGTTCTTGTACGTAATTCTCTGCTCCTGCTTCTCTTATTGCATCTTTTGGGTTCGCTGAGGTACAAATTTTTCCAACTTCTACCCAGTTGAAGCTGGTGTTCCTCGAGGTAGCGTCTTGGGCCCCGTCCATTATACCATTTTTACCGCTGAGATCCCTGTCCATCCCGATAACTTCCTGGCAACATTTGCTGATGACACCGCCATCCTATCATCCAATTCAGATTCCGAAATAGCATGTTTAAATCTGCAAAGACACCTGATTTGATAGAGCACTGGTGTAATAAATGGCGCATCAAATTAAACGAATCCAAATGCAAAAAAATTAAATTCACAATCCGGCGCAGTTCCTATCCATCAATCCACTTTAATTCCATCTAGGTTCTTTTTTCAGACACAGTCCGGTATCTTGGCTTTCTCTTAGACCGAAAACTAACGTGGAACCCTCATACTAGACTTAAAAGACAAAAACTTAACAGACGATACGGCCAATTGTACAGACTATTGACTAGAAAATTTCAACTTTCAATTGACAAAAAATTACTGATCTACAAGACAACCCTGAAACCTATTTGGACCTACGGACTTGAACCTGAGCAAAATATTCTAACATCAAACGCATCCAATCCTTTCAGTCCAAAGTCCTCCGAACAATGTTCAATGCTCCGTTCTATGTAACCAACAAAATCCTACATCATAACCTTAATGTATTTGATTAAATCCCATTTGTCCTTGACCATATCCCTGAAAAATTTTACAAATTCCATCAGAACCTTATCAATCATCCAAATCCCCTAGCACAATCTCTTTCTAGTTCCACTCATCTCTACAATCCTCCTCAAAGATCGATGCGGTAATGATCCAGAGATGTTTTGTAGTATTTATATTGGAGTTCTGGCAATGGCCAGATTCTCCACTCAAGACTTGAATGTATGTGGCTAAAGCGCTCTCGCTCAGACTCCACTGGCTTTAGCACCAGTGACGCGGTTGAGAGAGCAGCGCAGGGATCTCATAGGGTCCTGCTTTTTCTTCTATAGTTGGAGGGAGAAGCCTGGCTTGGGGTTCTCTGCCTGATTGTATATATTGTATATAGGTATGAATGAGTTTTTATGTTTAAATCTTTAGGTTATTTTATATTTTATTATACATAGGTTTTTTTATTATTATTTAGTTATTATTTTACTTTCGTTAATTTTATATTTTCCGTATATATGGTGTAAATTTGTTCATATATCACTACAATTATTGTCCACGAGACAGATTATTATATGTCTAAATAAAAAAAAAAAATTAAATGAATAACAGATATTTACCTGGCATCAAGCATTTCTAATTCTACTATCGCTGATCTTTACTAAAAGTTCTTTAACTGTAATCGGTAAAAAAATCGTTGACATCTTTAAATCATTCAACTATCGACGCGAATCGAACGCGGTTCGGTCATGTGTCTCAACCTGTATTTGATGAGACACTGTGAGTGTTTCATAAAAATTTGAGCTCAAAACACGAATACATTATTATATAAAATGTGATTTAATCAATCTATTAAAAGGTATGGAACGATTTATTGAGAGAATGGCTAGACCAACTTTAGATAGTTCAAATTACTCATTCAGATCTCGTAAACATTTCGAACACATTTGGGTTCAAGATGCTGAAAAAAAAATGTTTTCAATACTTTAAAAACTAAAAAGGTTAAATTAAAAAATATTGTGATTAAAAAAATAAACTCGACAATAGAAACCCTAAAATTCAAGAAACCCTAACCATACTTTCACATCTATTTAAATACCTTGATAGATTGTTACGAAAATGGACATCTGCGAACATCCGATTTCAACACCAATTATCAATATTCGTAGGTGTTAATTTTCCTAACAATCTACCAAGGTGTTTAAGTTGATAAGCAACTTCATTCCCTTCGGATGGATAGGATTTATCGGCTTTCGCAGTCAGATTTTTTTTTTCAAATTAAAATGTATTGTTTAAATAAACTGTAGGAATTTGATTTCAGCTAGTAATTATAATTGCAAAATTCAAAGGCATAGGTAGCTTTCACAGCACACAGCCTTCAGGGCATATGTAGCAAGACAGATTTTTTTTTTCGGAGAAGTTTATTGTTATTCCAATTTATAAACATTTTTAGAAGAAACTCAATATAAACACAGAACAATAATTTATAAAAAATGATTTTCTTTTATTTTCGGCAAACCTTTTGTATTATATTATGTTTTATTTTCTCACATTATTAAGGGAGGGGAGAGCATCGGCTCCCCTTTCCTTCCCTATGTACGCCCATAGCAAAATTAAAACTAATTACATTTCCAGTATAATTATTACTTTCTTTAATTTTACTTATTTTATTACTTAATCATTTGTGCCTTTAAGAAGGAATGCCTAATTTCTATTTATAATGTTAATTAATAAGTGGACAGCATCTTTTATTATTTCTCTAGTATCCTACATACCTTAATTAATCATTTTATGATCACCTTGCTAGTTTGTGATCTTAGTAATGCTAGTACAAAATAAATTTATGGAATTATTTGTTTAATGAAAATTTCAACATTTTAGGATAAAAGTCAAAAGGTTTTTTTTAAGGTCTTGGAGTTACTTTCCTCAACTACTTATTAAGTTCAAATTTAATAATTCTTAATTTAAACTTCATTCAAATTTTAATTTATAAGGATTTGATTACCGTGCCGTTGAGAAAAAATTTTAAGGGTATAAGGTAAGTAAGAGATCCACTCAATAGTTGTATTAACAAAACAGTCTGAATCGACAAGCAGTAACCTGGCCCACAAGTTATTTTAATTATTATTATAATTTAATTTTCTTTCAAATCAGACACTTACCTAAAAGCTCTTACCTCAAAACTGTACTACCTCACTCATACTCAAGTCCTTCCTTTTCGACAGATTTTTCTCTGTCCGACAGGGTTTAGAGACAGTTCGACCAGTATTAGCATGAGTACCTCAAGGATCAATACTGGTTCGGTAACTGTACATTATATATACGCATGATTTATCGGACAACTCTAAAAGATTGAGTAGTAGTCTACCTACGCTGAAGACAACAATTTTACCAAAACATCATAAACCTAGAAAAGCCACACTGAATTTACAAAAGAAAGAGGCGTTGTTGGGTACTATCCTTCCTTATGCTTTACAAAATAAATGCCATTATCATTTACAATGCCATCAAATATGCCGATTGTCACTCTCATGACAGGTGCAGATGAAGGTATGAAGTGAAAAAAAAAAATATTTTTTTTATTGTTACAAAGACCTCTTATCAAAATTATTATTATTATTAGTTTGCGTCCATAACAAACAATAATAGTATAAGTATACATTATGAACTTCCACAGTTACAAGTTAATTTTCCGTCACTCTCCATTATCTTCTACAACTTTATTTGTAAGATATGTAAGCGCTTTTGTATTTTATGATCTTTATATTTCCAACAGTGTATTATTATACACATATCATACTTCTAAAAAAAATATTTTCAACCTCCATTTTTTTTTCCTTTAGATAATTATCAAGTATTTTTCATAGTTTATATTTACCTATTTTACACAACTACTCATTGCTAGTGGTTTGTTGATTATTTCCTATAATCAAAATTAAAGATACCTTCGTCTACTTTTCCAATCATTGGCAACCGTAGACTAATGCAATGGGGTAAATGTCAATGAAGATTATGCCCCATGCTAAAGCCATTGTGCCTACTGTCGGTAATATGGACACCTTTGGTAACGTTACAATCAAACCACCAACCAAACCATTGTTAAGATAATGGATTGAATTCAGTAGTTAATGGACAGAACAAAGCTTTATTTTAAGTGAAAAAGTTCATTTTAAATTATGACCGTTTATTTCTAAATACCTAATGTTTGTATGTATAATAACATGTATGTATAATAAATGTTTGGAAAAAAAAGTACCGGAGATAAGAGTAGTAAGACAGATGTACGATATACCGTAGGAAAGGCTAGAGGTTTTTAAAAAATCATATAAGTTAATACCAACAAAATAGAAAATAGTATAACAAAGAATAATTTTTTTTTGTTTATATGTTGTATGCAAATATTGTGATTTCCATGTTGCGAAACGATTCTAGCACGTTGTATTAATAGAATCAACATTCAACAAACGTCATAAACGTTTTCAGAATTCAAACCTAGTTTAACCAATAAAATCTACCGACTAAATTAGTAACATTGGCACTTTTATTTTTTGCTGCGTACAGAATAAGGATTAAGTGATTAAACTGCGCCTCGTTGAATCTGGGATTTTTAATCCGAGTATAAATAAGTACCGGTAGTAAAATATCGCTGAAGACATTGATGGAAAACAAATTGTATTTAATTTCATCACATCATTGGGCCTTGATAATTATTCGAATCACCAACGCCACGTTGAAAAGAGCTGAACATATTAAAAGCCATACCTATTAACTAGCAATTCGTTTGCGTACCTCGATAAAATTATGAGCTTGGTCATTTGGTTATATTTTTAATTACTTATGTATGAAATATATAGTAAAGGAAAGCAGGGGTGCCCATCCCCCTAAGG